CACCACCACCACCACCACTACTACTACTACTACGACTACTGCTACTACGACTACTACTACTACTGCTGTTGCTGCTGCTACTACTACTACTACTACTACTATCATTACTACTACTAACTACCACCACCACCACCACTACTACTACTACTACTACTACTACTACTACTACTACGACGACTACTACTACTACTACTACTACTGCTACTACTACTACTACTACTAGTACCTATTGCTACTACTACTACTACTACTACTACTACTACTGCTACCACCTACAATTACTACTACTACTACTACCACGACGACGGCGACGACGACGACGACGACGACTACTACTACTACTACTACGACTACAACGACTACTACTACTACTACTACTGCTACTACTACTACTACTACTATTGCTACTACTACTACTACTACTACTACTGTTACTACTACCACTACTACTACTACTACTACTACTACTGTTACTACAACTACTACTGCTACTGCTACTACTACGGTTACTAGTGCTACTACTACTACTACTACTACTACTACCGCTACTACTACTACCACCTTTAATACTACTTTTACTACTACTACTACTACTACTACTACTACTACGACGACGACGACGACGACGACGACGTACGACGACGACGACGACGACGACGACGACGACGACGACGACGACGACGACGACGACGACTACTACTACTACTACTACTACGACGACTACGACTACTACGACTACTACGACTACTACTACTACGACGACGGCGACGACGACGACGACGACGACCACTACTACTACTACTACTGCTACTACTACTACCACCACCACCACCACTACTACTACTACTGGTACTACGACTACTACTACTACTACTACTGCTGTTGCTGCTGCTAGTACTACTACTACTACTACTACTACCACTACTACTACTACTATCATTACTATTACTACTACTACCACCACCACCACCCCCACTACTACTACTACTACTACTACTACTACTACTACTACTACTACTACTACTACCACTACTTCCACTACTACCACTACTACTACTACTACCACTACTACTACTACTACTACTACTACTACTGCCTACACTATTTGTTTGTTTTTAAGTACTACTACTACTACTCCCACCTACAATTAAACTACTACTACAACTGCGACTACTACTACTACTACTACTTACTTACTACTACTACATACCACGACTACCGACGAACGACACGACGACGACGGACGACATAGACACGACGACGACGACTACGACGACGACGACGACGACGACGACGACTACTCCCATTACTACTACTACTACTACTACTACTACTACTACTACTACTACTACTACTACTACTACTACTACGACTACTACTACTACAACTACTACTACTACTACTACGACTACTAATGCTAATGCGAATGCGATTGCGAATGTGAATAATACTAGAGCCAGCAAACATATGAACAAACTTACGAGCAACCATCTCAATACTACGTATAAGAAGAAGACTATGAAGAAGAGGAGGAGGGAGGGAGGGAGGGGGGGGGAGGGAGGGAAGAGGGAGGAAATAAAGTGGACGGAAGGGGAGGGAGGCGAGTGGTGGAGTGAGACGGGAGAAGCGCTTTCACCACCCCGTATTTGTGTGTGTGTGTGTTCTGATTGTTGTTTCTCCTTCTCTTCCTCTTCCTGCTCGTCTCTCTACTTTTCCAAGTTTGTTCGGCATATCTCCCTATTGTGACAGTCAGCAAGGCAAACCGCACCTTGAAGTGGCGGAGGCCACAGATGTTGACGACAAATCCCATCGCCTGGGTAACAGCCGTGGATGCCTCAGCGAAGGTTGCGGCCCTGTCCCACCAACACCCTGATCCCTCCTCGTGGAGGCTACTGACAAGCAAATCGCAGTCGCCAGAGCTGTGGGAGTTCTGGTGGCGAAGCTGCTGCCGCTTTGGCAGCCGCTTGCTTTTGGAAAGGGAGTGGAGCGGACCAAGCCGCCCGCGGCTGACAGAGCCGAATTCGTCGCTCACCGCTGGATCTGGATCTCTAGGTTCTGGCGCTGTGAAGCGTGTTGGAAGGTCTCCCGCCCAATCGATTTGCAACCGCCTGGCCACTGTCGAGGTCTCCACAAGCTTGCCCCCCAGAATCCAGGTTGCAGCATCAGGTCATTTCCCTCGAGTGTTCTGATGGTGCCGCGCTTGTCGTCTGCCTGCGTTGCAAAGCCTACCCAGGCCACGGCGTGGTGCGCAGCCTCGCCTGGAAATGTTTTGGCCTCAGGCGCTGGAACCCGCTCTGTCTGGAAGCGGATTTCCTCTGGGGTCCGCCCGGAACTCCATGGCCTGCCTGCGCAGGTTGGCCCCTGGCTCCAGGAAGGCGCAACCAAACCAGGATGCCTGAGGCACCTGGCTGGCGAGGCGGCAGGCCCTCAATGCCGTTTTTTGTTATTTTTGTGAGGCGAGTGGCCTCGCGGAGAAACAATTCTCCTCCCCTCCTCCTCCTGCTCCTCCCCCCCTCCTCCTCCTCCTCCTCTCCTCCTCCTCCTCCTCCTCCTCCTCCTCCTCCTCCTCCTCCTCCTCCCCCTCCTCCCCCTCCTCCCCCCTCCCAGGAGGAGGAGGGGGGGGGGAGGCGGGCGGGCGGCCCGCCGCCCAGCAGGCGGCCGCGGACGCGGCCCGGCTCGCCCTCGCCCTCGAGCCGCGGGGCGCGACGATGGGCCCGAGCGCGGGCGAGAGCCCGCTGCTGCTCGGGCTCTCCCGCGCCCCGCGCCCCGCCGCCGCCAGCCCCCCGCGGGGGTGCCTCGGGGCCCTGGCCCGCTCGGCAGCCCCCGGGCTTTTGGGCGCGAACTGATGGGGGGACAAGAAGAACACGTGTTCAACATAACCAAACGTCTGTTCTCTAGGCCTCCTAGGTGGGGTCGGAGCAGATGGGGTCTGAGGATCGCGCCGCATCGCCGATGCATCGGCGATGCAGCTCGATGCGGAGCCCGACTTGCTCCACGTCGACTCCGCCGATGCACCGCCGATTTTGACGTTGCATCGCCGGTGCATTGCCGGTACATCGCCGATACATCGCCGATGCGGCGCGGTCCTCCGACCCCATCCACTCCGACCCCATCTAGGAGGTCTCTATGCCCCGAACGAACGAAACATCTGTTTCTTGGCACCGTCGCCATCATCATCATCATCATCATCATCATCATCATCATCATCATCATCATCATCATCATCATCATCATCATCATCATCATCATCATCATCATCATCATCATCATCATCATCATCATCATCATCACCCTCGCCATCGTCATCGTCCTCGACATCGCCATCCTCTGTAGCCCGCGCTGCCCCCCCTCCTTAAGGGGGGGGCAGAGCGAGCGCTGCAGAGAAAGGGCCCGTTCAGGGCTCCTAAATGGGGCCCTCTCGGGCCCCAGAGGGTTTCTCTGGGGCTCGAACAGAGCATCTTTCTCCCTCCCCGATGGGGCCCTCTCGGGTCCCAGAGGGCCTCTCGAGGGCTCGAAGCGGGCACCGTTCTCCCGCCCCCGCGTTGTTGCCGGCACCACTGATTCGCGCCCAAGGCTCGGCGGGGCACGGTTGATGGTCAACCTATTGCACCTTGTGCCCAGAGAGCCGAGGCTCTGGCCAGAATTGGAGCGGCCGGTCTTGGTCTTGGGATGTTTTCGGCTCCCGAGAGCCCTCAGCGGGCCTCGGGACCGTCGAAAAGCCATTCAGGACGAAAAGCCGAGCCTAGGGAAGTGGTGCAGACCTCCAGGGGACGGTTGATTCGGTGGCGACACTCGAACCCTGCCCCCGCCAACCATCGATTGTGTTGAATCGATGGGAGACGGGGGTAGGGTTCGGATTTCGCCACGTGTTTGATGAATTTCGAGCCCTACCCATCGGGTTGCTTGATCGGCGAAGGTAGGGTTCTGATTTCGCCGCTGATTGATGGACAGAACTCCTGCGCCATGTACCTTCCTAAGTCTCCCAGATGGGGTCTGAGTTGATTGGGTCGGAGGCTCGCGCCGCATCGCCGATGCACCGGCAATGAATCGGCGATGCGGCGCGATGTGGAGCCCGACTTTCACCACGCCGACGTCGCCGATGCATGATGTATCGTCGATGCGGCGCGATCCTCCGACCCCGTTTACTCTGACCCCATCTGGGAGGCCTCTATTGGCGGGGAACGGTTGAGGGACAACATCCTGCGCCTTGTCTGTGGACTTTCGTGCACGCATCTCTGGCCGAAGTCCATCGCCCTGCTGGCGATGCCAATCAGCATCGAATCGGGGGCAGAGGGCAGGGCTCATTGAAGTTTGCGCCGGCACCCTGGTCGCGCGGGTGGTGCAGGATTTTGCGGGGCTCAAGAGACGGGGGGTCAATGCAAACGGGGGTCAGCCAGAGCGTGGGGTCTTGCAGGATCCTGCAGAGCCAAAGGTGAATTGACCTGGTTTAGCGCGCAGGATCTCGCAGGATCCTGCAGGGTCCTGCAGGATCCTGCAAAGCCCGACTGACCCCTGCTTGCATTGACCCGGGTCAGCAGAGGCCCGAATTCTGTCCATCAATTGGACCTGGATGTCTGGAGGAAGAGGGTGGATGAGGAGGAGGGGGAGGAGGAGAAGGTGGAGGAGGAGGAGGTGGAGGAGGAGGGGGAGCAGGAGGAGGAGGAGGAGGAGGAGGAGGAGGAGGAGGAGGAGGAGGGAGGAGGAGGAGGAGGAGGAGGAGGAGGAGGAGGAGGAGGAGGAGGAGGAGGAGGAGGAGAGGAGGAGGAGGGAGGAGGGAGGGAGGGAGGAGGGAGGAGGGAGGAGGAGGAGGAGCAGAGGAGGGAGGAGGGAGGAGGGGGAGGAGGAGGGAGGGAGGAGGAGGGAGGAGGAGGAGGAGGAGGAGGAGGAGGAGGAGGAGGAGGAGGGAGGAGGAGGAGGAGGAGGAGGAGGAGGAGGAGGAGGAGGAGGAGGAGGAGGAGGAGGATTTTCCCATCAGCCAGACCTGGATGTCCGACGGTGTGGTGTTTACCATCCCGGCGCTTCTCCTCGAGTTCGGCCCCCTGTGGGGCCCAGTTCCGGGCCCCGAGGCCAGCAGCAGCGGAGCCGGGGCGCAAAATGTTACCCCCAGGGGGGGAGGGTCAGGACCTCTGGGGCCGCGCACCGAAGCAACCATAGGGGCGGATGTCAAGGGAGGGAAGTTGGGGAGGAACCTCGAAGAAGAAAACAACAATAAACATAAACTTTTGACACTCCGCGCGGATTTCTTGGATCCGCGCTGGGCCCCTCCGGCGGCGCCTCCGGCGCTGCCCCTGGCGCGCGGAGCGCGCCAGGAAGGGGAGGCCAGCGCGGATCGAAAGAGTCCGCGGTGAGCACCAACAGTTTATGTTTATGGCGTTTTTTCTGGGACCCCCAGAGCCATAATACGTGAATCGCCTCGGGTTAAGCCTGAACCCTCGGACGTGCCAGAAGAGAGGTTTGATCCCGCCTTTTTCATCCCTGAAAAGTCGTGATGGCAAGCTTGTGCCACGCATCAGGTTTGGCAAAAGGTCCCCCCTCTTCTCCTCGCTTCTGCTCCTTGGTAGTCTTGTGGCTGAATCCTGTGCGCGTTGAATTTGCCAGCACTTCGTTTTCTGAGCGAGCACGGTCGAGGACACCATCTGCGCTCGCCATCAGGTCACTTTACCAGGTGGGCCGTCGCGGTCGGCTGGGAGTTTTTTTCATCGAGAGCGTGCGCCAGAGTGCGCGTTCGCGAGAAGCCCCGCTGAGGGATCAGATGGCCTGCTGGTAGAAGGGTGCAATGGCAGCGCTGCGTTGGCTAGGACTACGGCGTCAAGCAGGTGGCGCAGATTGTTCATGCGTGTGTTCATCTTGTTCTTGACAAGCCAGGCGACGTTGATAAGCCCCTGCCTTGCAAGGGCGCCACCATCGAGAAGTTGGTCAACCTTCTGCTGAACGGCAAGGGCCCCAGAGGGTTGGTATTTGAGAGTTTCCAGGAGCAGGCGTCGAAATTACCGCAGCGAGCCCATCTTCGTGCGGTACATGACTCCTTGTCCGATTTCAGAGCATGCGCCTCCAAGCAGGAGGCGGTCGGCGTGCTGCATCGGCGCATGCCTGAGGAAGCCTTTCCGAGTTTCGGCATGCATGTAAGCAGCAATGTATGTGTCCATCCTAAAGACGTGTAGAACAAGAAACGTAGTCAATATAAACATATAGGGAATTCAGTTGGTCGCCAGGATGGTGCTGATGCTCTTTTAGCAGGCGCTTTTCATGGCATCGCCCAGGCCGCCCGTGATGAACCGCTGGACCCCATCACGCCTGAAGAGGTTCGGTTAATGGCGCATCGCATGTGTGGCAGAACTGGGCCAGTTGCTGGTGGATTCACACACTTGGACATCAACAGGCTGCCACCGCTTGACCTGGCGAAGCTTGCTGCTTTGCTGAACGCCTTCGAGGTTGCTCTCACGTGGCCGCATTAGACGCAATTCGTTGTTGGACAGCTCTTGATCCACGAAGTCGATGGTGACAGAGTTCTTGGTCAGATTTCGATGCTGGGCCGTATCTGGTTAGATATCCGAGGACAACACGCAAGGGCTTGGCGTGGCTTGGTTGAGACAGGGTGGGGCGCTGCAGTGCACTCCAGCAGCTAGCTGGTCGAGGCAATCCATGGCGCGCTTGCGGATGAGGTCGCGGGATGGCCCCAGCTTTCCAGTGGCCATGGCATGTTGGACATGAAAGGCTTCTATGACGGCATCGAATGGAATTTTCCTGTCGGGGCGCCCGTGCGCCCAGGTTGCCAACGTCGGATGCTGCGCCTGGAGCTGGTTCAGTGTGTCGCGGCGCGTGCTCTTGAGCAACGTGGGCGCGCGTGCTCTGCGTTCGTCGCCAGCTGGCCTATCATTCAAGGCCTCCGAGGAGGCGCGCGGTTTGCCAAATGTCTGAAGCATTCTGCGATGACTAAGATATCGCGATCGCGCCCTGCCCTTGCGCACCGCGTCTGAGCCGATGACCTTTCGCAGGGGGCGTTTGGCTCCAGGTCTGCAGTTGCTGATGGCCTCGCTTATTGCCTGGCAGCCGCGTTTGATGAGTTGGCGCGCTGGCATCCTGATGTGTCTCCAGAATCCATTGCGCGTGTTCTGCCCGCGGGGGCGCCGAGGGGATCGCCGGGGGAATGCGTGCCGGGGGGTACTGCGTGCGTGCTCAGCATTAAAGTGCGTACCCAGGCGGGGACCGTGGAGGAGTCAGTGGGGCAGCTCGGGCCGCGATCGAGCACACTAAGTTGCGCGGCGAAGTTGCTACATGTGCAAGGGCCCCGCGGCAATATTCAATCGCGTCGCGTCTCGAACGCTGCGGTGCCTTCGCTGCAGGAAGCTTCGTGCAGCAGGTCCATGGTGCTTTTGGAAGGCGGCTGGCCAGTTTTCGGAGGGGCCTCGTCGCTGTTGCTTGCGCCGGTGAGACGGGCGCTTGTTCGACAGCCATACTGGCCGTCGAACGTTCCCGATCAGGATCCGGGAAGGGCCTGTCCGCGGGAGCGCGTGCAGTGTAATTAGTTTGAAGCCGTGGCTTCTTCGCTCAGCTTTTCGTCCAGGAGCCGTCGGAGCATGTAGTCCTTTTGTTTCGGTGGCGACGATAAGGGCGAATAGCGCAGGGACGGGCACTGCGCGAATTCGCCCGGAAGCCTTGTCGAAGACATAGATCATCGGCGCCCCCTGGATACATGTGTTGCTCGCCCCTGGGCTATTCGACCCTGTCGTCGCCTCTGATTTGTTCGGTATCTGAGGGCCATGCCATCGGCCAGTCGATGTGGATGACAAGGGCCACGCTCTGCCGTCACTGTCTATGTGCTGGATCGAGACTTGGGGGCCCGCGGTCCCCTGTGCACCGGATCGCTCCCGGCGGCGCGGGGCTCGGGCTTCGCGAGCCAGCATATCTCGGCGCTCCCGCCCCGCACGAGGCCTGCGGGTTTCGGGGAGATCTCGGTGAGACCTCCCGTGCTCTGCTCCCCCGTGAACCGGATCGCCCCCGACGGCGCGGAGCTCGGGCTTCGCGAGCCAGCATATTTCGGCGCTCCCGCCCTGAGCGATGCCTGCGGGTTGCTGGAAGACTTCGGTGATGACCTCCCGGGACCTCCCATGCTCTACAGGGTCGGGCTGGAAGAAGGAACGCGTACTGTTCCAAAGGGGCTCGGTCGTTCCTTTCGTTCGCATGCGTTCCGCTGCCTTTTTGGCGGCGAGCCACCCTGGTGTTCCTTCGGACTTCGTAGACTTACTTGGGAAGAAAGGGGCTTCGTTCCTAATCTATCGCTCCTTGGGTCAGGCCGAACACTGTACTATGCCGCCGTCCTCCCGGACAGTTCTGCGGGGGAGGAGTCGAGGATGGAATCCGCGCCCTTTCCATTTTAGGGCCTCGCCGAGGCAGCTGGAGGCAGCGCCGCGGGGGCGGCGTCTGGGTTGGCTTCCAGTCTCCGTGGCTGCAGGTCGTGCTTGGCCGCGTGAGGGGCGGGCGCAGGTCGCCGCGAACGCGGCTGTCTGTGCTGATTGCTCGCGTTATCGAGGTCAGGTTGAGACGCAAACCCATCATGCGTGGGAGTGCGAAGCTAACCAGGGCCAGGGGGTGTATCGCTTGACCGGCAAAGAGCAGATGCAGGCTCAGAGTCGCACCCAATCTGAACCAGCACTCTGGCTCCATGGGGTGGCACCTCGGAGTTGGACGCAAGTCGCAAATCCCAGCGCCAGCGGACGATGAAGGAGTGGTACCTCGTGGGCTTCGACGAGGGCGTGTGCGAAGGCGCCCTCGGCCCAGTTCTTGCTCATGGGTCAGTGCTGCTCTTCGGTGACGCCGGTGGGGGGCCTGACTCACGGGGCCCCCGCTTCAGACGAGTTTGGCTGGGCCTCGTAGAGTGCGCCTCGAGGATTGCCTGGCCCAGTGCAATCCGCTCCTCGAGGAGAGCTGCGTTGTCTGGGTCAGTTCACGTTTAGCGCTGAGCGTCGGATTTCAGGATGTGTGTGACTGTTCGTCAGATGGTTTTGATGGTTGACATGCTCGTACCTTCGAGCGCCCAGCTCGTGGGTGCGCGCTTCTGTGGGCCAAGATCGGTCAATAGTTTTGCAGGGGACGACGGACCGAGCATGTCACGGTCTTGTTCGTTGACTCCCACCTTGGCGGCGCGGACATCGCAGCAGGTCGGGGGCCAGCGTGGCTCGCGCGTGGTGATGCGGCGGCAGACGTGCTCGCAGCTCAGGGGGCCCGTCTCGATCGTTTTCCTGAAATTGTTCGAAGCCGTGTGCTGGATAATGAACGGTTGGCGTACCTTGTGCGCGTCAGGGTCATGCGCTCCAGTCTGGACGCCCTCGAGGCGGAGCGCGTGCCCGACCAGGCTCAGAGGACCTCGAGGCACCCACTAGGCCTGGGGCGCAGGAGGGGTGACGTAAACGAGGTTGCTTTTGCTGTTGCTATTGCTTATGACTTTTTTTACTCCTCAGCCTCTTCTGCCTCCTCTTGATCCCGAGGCCTTGTCTGGCTTGAAATCTGCTCACGTTCTCTCGGACTGTAGGCTTCGGTGCAGTTTTGCCTTGCTCGGGAGTGGCGGAAGACACCGTGTTTCAAGCTTGTAGGCATAGATGGTTCATGTTGTGCTCCGGCCGAGGGGAAGGTGATTCATATTTCTGGGGGGTGGGCCCAGCCCACCCATTGTTTGAGGCTGCAACAGGGCAGGTTGATGGTTCTGTACTAGCCGTGGGATGTATGACGATCAGCAGTTTTTAAGTCTTGGGATGGAGAATCAGCCTACACCCACAACCAGCCGTACATGATTTTGAAGGCGCATCGATCTCGGCCTGCGGCCCAATGTCCACAGTCAAGTAGAATGAGCTCGTGCGGCCTAGGAAAGGCGTCAGCGTAAGGGTTGTTAGGACTTCGCTCATGTACTCTAACTCCAACTCCAACTCCAACTCCCCCTCTTCCTCCCAGCTTCTCCCTCCTCTTCCTCCATCCTCCTCCTCTCTCCTCCTCCTCCTCCTCCTCCTCCTCCTACTCCGTCTCCTCCTCCTCCTCCTCTTCCCTCCTCATCCTCTTCCCTCTCCTTCTCCTCCTCCTCCTCCTCCTCCTCCTCCTCGTCCTCCTCCTGGGGCTGCCGGGCGCACCCTGCCGTTCTGGGCCCCCCGGGGCCAGAGCCGACCCCTCCCGCCAGCGCCGGGACCGCTCGTGCGGCCGGGCGCCTGCTGGCGCAGCGCTCAGCGGCCAGATCCCCGGATCCCCTTGGAGACTACACTCCCCAGATCTGGGCGTTGCAATGTTTTTCGCTACAGGCGTTGTTCGCTTTCGGGTTCCGGGATTCTCACAGATCGACTTGTCTCGAGACATGGCGCAGAAAGATGGGGTCCAGGATGCGGGGCGTGATTTTTCGCTACGTTTGATTTTTTTGTGATGTCAGATTTGAGGGATGGGTGTACTTACGCCGGGATGTGGTTTGCGATCGGCGTCGTCCGGGTTTCGAAAGTACAAAGTTGCCCCAGAGCTTTGATGAGCCCTCGTCGGGGCGCGGCAGAGATTTCTTTCGAGGTCCCCGCCTGCTTCCCCAAGTTGCGCGTTGCAAGCCTTACTTCTGGTAAACCACACTCTTCGGAGTCTCCGATCCCCAGATCTCCTGATGCCCAGATCCCCCGTTCACCTGCAGGCCGCCCAGATCCCCAGATCTCCGACGATTTTTTTATTTGTTTGAATTCGGGCGCTCCGCCTCCAGTGCGGCCTCTGGGGCTCTTTACGCCGGCCCGATGAAAGTTCCTTGAATTTTCATCACGACGCTCGCCAGCGGAAGTCGACGGAAGTAAAACAAAGCGGAAGACGGCGGAAGGCCGTCGGAAGCCTTGCGGACGACAGCGAACGTAAATGACTCCCTTTCCGAACTCCCTACTCCCGTAGAAGCCTGGCAATGTAGTCTTCTTTTGTGGGCCGGGCGGGATCCGGCTTAGTTTATTTCATTCATGATAGTATGTTTATAGTTCAGCCAGGCCCAAATCCCACCTATTAGAACTTGGGTAATGCAAAGTCTCGGGTCGTCCATGGATCCCGCCATGCTGGATCTACTCGAAGTAAGATGGGGCTCAGAAGTTGCACCATTCCTGCCGTGTTGGGGTCGCCTTGAGATCATCTTCTGGCCATGTTTGGGTCGCGCGGCCGTCGCATGGTCATTTTCGGGGAACCCGGAGCGCGCCTGGTTCCATCTTGTTTCAATCGGGACATCTTGGCGTCATTCGTTGCTCATGTGTTTGGTCATCTTAGAGCCGGCCCGAGACGGTCCAGAATACGTTGCGGGATCGTGTTGGAGTGGCGTCATTCCAGGGCCGTCTGGACCTTATCGTCTGTGGCCTGGGGCCCTCCTGGAACCATTCTGTGGCCCTGGGGACGTCTTGGGATCGCGTGCGTGCGAGCGATGAGCTTGCCTGCGCGACATGTCATGTTGCCGATGGTTGTACATACATATGTCTCCTCTTGCGAGTTTCCAAGGAAACTGTTGTTGGAGCCAAGAATTGTGCCCTGGGACCAAATCTGGACCCAGGGGGGGTGTTCTGGCGCCGCGCAAGGAATAAATTAAACCATGTCGTCGGATGTCTGGGTCTCCGATGATGTGAACTCTCGCGCGCTCCCTGAGATCGTGGTGGCGCAATCTTGTTACGCCAGGCGCTTTCGCTTGAACTTCGGCCGCCCGGGACCTTTGCATATTGATTTGGCTCGAGAGATGAGCGACGCAAAGAAACGGGTCCGTGAATCCCGACATCGGCACGTAAGTTTCCCGCGTAAGGTCCCACGTATGCGCCCACGTCTCCAATGAGGCGTGCCGCGCTGGCGGCCTGCGTAAGCTGCGGCGGAGGGTCGTTTACGCCATCTCGCGTGAGGCCCGTTTCGGACCGTCGCTGGGGTGGCGCTGTGCAGAAGGAGTGGGGTGTTCCTGATTGCGCGCGCATGCTGCCCGCGGGCCCATCGATTCCGCGTGGGCGGCGCCGGCGTCCCGCCAAGTGTACTTGCCGGGTGCTTCGCCCGTCTAGCCCGGATATCCGCGATTGGCCTCCGCGCGGGCTCGAGCTGCCCTTCAGCTGGGCCGGCGCAGCTCTTCTAGCTGGATGTGCCTCATTGCTCCATTTCTGTATTTTGCCTTTTCCACTTGATAGCAATCTGTTGCAGTGCAGTGATGCTGACCGCTCTTGGCCTGGCTCCTCTGTTTCGGCAGGGGGCGCTGTTCAGGTTTTCTGTGCCGTTTCGTCCCCTCTCCCTCCCTCCTCGTCTCTCCTGCTCGTCCTGCCTCCTTGTACTCGGAGTGGTAGTTGTAGGGTAATCCGCGGTTGCCGCCGGAGGTCGGCTCGAGATTTGGATTTTATGCGATCGGTAGGGCGTTATTCCGCCTCGACGGTGGAGTCACACTATTGTGGACTCCGGTGCACTAGTGTACAATAGACGCGCGGCACTCGTCGCCTGTCTTGGGAGCGCTCCGCTCCCGGGTCACATTCAACGGGCCCATAATCGTCGCGCTTACGATTTGTGCCAATCGCCGCACATGCTATTTTGAACATTTTTTCCGGCCAAGCTTGCAAACTGGGGCGGAAATTCGTTCAATTATTCCGGTCCAACAGGTGTTCAACATTTCAGGCTTTCCAGGTTTCAATGTCATTCTTGCGTTCTGCTTCACAATGCCTGTTGACTCATCGTGTGCGCTCCCATCTTCCCCCTAAAAAAAATCATCATCATACCATCATCATCATCATCATCATCATCATCATCATCATCATCATCATCATCATCATCATCATCATCATCATCAT